ACTAAATCTTCGAATAGAAGACTTAGCACTGACACTTTTACGCACACTATGAAGCGGTACGTACATACATTAATAGCAGCATAGATGCCACTTGTGAGTGTATTTAAAGCTCTCAAGGAACAATTAAAACTGTCAGAAGGAGAATTTAGACCGTTTGTGTTACACACGGCTGCTTCGCGCAATTAGGACGAAGTGGGAACGTCTCACTCGGTTCTGTTTCGAGTATATTTAGACGTTTATGAGTTTCGACTTCGTGTCTTTATTCTGATACTTGTTCAATTTACTCCGCGTGAAGCATTTGATTGTATTTCTTCAAAGCCACCTTTGTCGTAGATTTTATTTATGTTATGGTTAATTAGATATCAGTATTTCTTGATAAGTTAACTACTATTGGACTTCGGCTTTTTACAAAGCCTCAGTCGTGAGTGAGTGCTAAGCATAAGATTGACAGTTGATCAGTTTTAATGTTAACCATTTATTTTTTAAATGGTTAGTCCATTGAATAATATAAAGTGAAATCAATTATATTATGGTTTAATAGCATTAGATCAACAGCATCTCTGTTCTGGAATGTTTGAATTATTCCGCACCTCCCGTTACATTGTGGCTATCCTGCCATTATATTTAATTATTAGATTTAGTACCCCTATTCATTCCAAAGATTATTTTTGAAGTTACAAAACACCCTTATTCCAGAAGAAAAGATACTTAGGTTCTACGATCAGCTTTAGTTCTTGTAATAAATTAAAAAAATACTGTATACGTAAATTCGTTTTTGGTAGATCGTATCAAAATAATAATAGAAACTAACTGCAAACGTAGTTATTAGCAATGAACGTCAGAAATTTTAAATAAACTCAAATTTATTGCAATAATGAATCCTAACCTTTAGTCAATGTATAAATACACCCAGATTTCCTCATAATTTCTCGTTATATGTAAAATTTATGACGTTTTCTACTTTTACGACTCCCATGGACGTGTTGAAATAATGCTACTGCGTATTATAAATATAATAATAATAGTAAAAAATTGCATCTCATATTTATATAAATTTACATATGTAACTCTGAGAATAACTATTTGAATATTGCGAGAGATTGTTATCACCTTTAAGTAATACCAGATACTAAAAACTATTATCAATATCGTCTACCATTCAACAAAGCACAAGTGTTGCCCCAATAAACGTAATAGATAATTGGCGTCGTATATTAAGAAATGTCTAACATAAATCTGACAAACGATCGGCCCGACATTTATTTAATATGCACAGAAGATTTACCTCTGAGGAACATTGAATTTAATATTAGGTACGTAATCGATTTTCGTGGAGAAGACTATTAAAGTAATACATCTTTTGTTGCACAGGTACATTTTAGAGCTTCAAATTTACAATGTCCATATTAATGACTCGAAGTTAATAGAATTGCCTTCTAAATTGATTGCAATAATAATTTTGGTCAGTAATTATAGATCGTTTTGTATTTATAAACATCATATAAAAACGTCAAGAAAAAATTTAAATTATTTAGAATGACGTTATTATATAGTGGTTCATAACTAACGACCTCAGACATTTTATAAACAAGAGTAACGATGTAGTGATATCGTAGACACAAACTGTAATCAATTTTTTTATTCAATTATAACCACATGTAATACAAAAATCGACCGAATGGCGGTCACGGCAGCGAGTCTCAATGGAAAAAGCGCAGCACAGAATTAAAGTGCACAAGTGTGAGTGCAAGGATAGGTGTACTTTCTATTGCTTCATTCTCATAGTCTGGAGGATGAGCGGCTTTACATGCTTTTCGAGACACGCAGATGACGTATTGCTACTGGGAATTTCTTGAAAACCCAATAACTGATGTTTGGACCGACCTGGGATTTTAAACTGGAACCAAACGATTAGCAGCCTGGCTTACGACTACTAGAGCAAGAGACAATAGCAAAAATAACTTACTTAAGCATGTAAGATGCTTTTTAGTAGTATTGCCAATTTTCGCGAATGTTAAAGTAAAACACAGTGAACGTATGGAATTTTATATGCTGTAACAGACATTAAGCCCATTATCAATCTCATCATATTTCAAGACCTAATATTTGTATCGATTCATTATGTTTACATAATTAATACTTGTGTAGTAAATCTAATAAATTCTTATTACACGGCAATTTAAAAACCTCTTTGACTAAAACCTAAAATTTCTTACTTTATATCACTATTTAAAATAAAATTATTTCTTCTGTAACTTAAGAATTTTGAAATATACATTCCGGTTCAACTTCGAGTGCATAGAAACGGAGGTGAAACTGGGTTAGTCTAAAATTATCAACGGAAGCTCACTCAAATTATGACTTTTGATGAAATGTTGCACCACACTCTATTTAGAACGGATATAGTTATTTAAAAAAAAATATTAATTATATAATGATGGTTTATCTAAATTTTTATTATCTGTTAACATAACATATACTGATTAATTTATTATGCCCATCAAAAGTTCAGTGCTGAACATAGGCATCCATACCCCATGGTAGATTGTTTTTGCCATAAGATTTTGACATGGTAATCACACTTGACATGCTAGTTAGCAACCTAAGTTTTTCATTTACTATCAATAAGTTGTACTACTACATATATGTACGGGACTACAGATTATATACATGTATAAGTACTTACATACATACATATATAATATTCGAGACAAATTATTTAGCAATAATGGAAGAAATATATAGATACGGAAATCAATCTATACATATAATAAAACTGTAAATAGCAGATGTCTGTACATTTTATATTTTTGTAATAAAAGTGATTGAGGGGTACTAAAAATAAGTAATTAAATACATTTCTACCATTTTTAGAATTTTCTGTCTGTCTGTCTGTCTGTCTGTCTGTCTGTTTGTTTGTTAACGTATCACGTTTAAAGTACTAATTTATATCATAAGAATTGTTAAGGAAATTATAAAGTGTATCTTCGGGTTACATTTAGTCTTTATTTCATTAAAATCGGTTCATTCCATCAAAAGTTATAATAAATATTCTGAAGTATGGGTAGGGAATTTGCTCAACGGTGGCTTTGTTTGAGTCATCAAGTTGATGTTAGCAGCGCCATCTCTCTTCAATTAAATATATACATATAATAAAAATGATGATAACATGTTGTGTCTCTTTCTGTACATTGTATATTTATTTTGGTGACTAAAATCATTATGGGGAACTAAAAATAATTAAATAAGTACATTTTTATAATTTTTAGAATTGTCTGTCTGTCTGTTTGTCTGTTTTTATATGAATGCATCACGTCTAAAGTAAACATCTTTTTTTTTTCAAAGAAATCGTTAAGAAAATCATAAAGCGTATCTTCAAGTTACATTTAATCTTTGTTTTATTAAAATTGGTTAATTCTATCGAAAGTAATGATTATTATTTTAAAATGTAGGTTCGAATTTGTTCAATGGCGCCATAAAAATCTCAGAAATAGTAATAAAAAGATTTGTGTGTAAAAAAACGTTCCATAATAATTAATATATTTATACTTAAAACATAAAAAGAGATTTAAAAATGGATGTTTTCTCACACAAAGGACGTAATAGATGGAGTTATACAAATTACAAACTTTTCTGATTTGCTGTGTTGAGATTTTTCGCCGATGAATCGTATTGAGACTTACTGAAGAAATTAGTATCTATCGAAGCCATACAACGGAACCCGAACAAAAATAACAAAATTGCAACGAAATGTCGTGATATTGTATTTATAATATACGCAAAATCAGTACTGCCATTTTAGCGCTTTGGGAACTAGATTTAGCGCTTTTTTGGAATGTATAGCGCGCATTTCGAAATTTTAGCACCTAGCACTTAATCCAGCGCTTTTTGGTGTATTTAGCACAAATTTCTAAATTGTAGCGAATAGCGGGTTATTAACTCTTTTATAGCAGCACTGTTAGTCCACATTACCGATAATAATAATAATGACCTTTATTATTTTTTTCCACAAATAGTACATTGCAGTTTATCTTTTGCAAACATATTTTTTCCACAAAACAAAGAGCATGGGAGACGAGTCCAAACTAGGATATCCTGTGCTATGGATCTCCCGGCTTCCCCTTTAGGATGATCAACTTGATTTTTCTTATCGACGACTATAAGCGGGGAAATCCCCTTCATTAAAGTTTTCGTTCATGGTTTTGGCAACGCATTTATTTTGCTTTATTCAGTTTTAGTCAGTTGTTTAGAGCACAGCTAAGTTAAAAGTTACTTAGAGTAGTACTAACTACTGTTGACAGCAATTGCCATAATTATAAGACGATGTCCTGCGAAGTATTGATACATCAAAAAATATTGCCAGAAAAAAACTTAATGTTGTTTTCTTTATTATGATTATATTTTCTTGAATTATAAATTATAATAAAAAACACAAACTTTGTTTGTAGTTAATTTAGCGCGAAATCTAGGGCTTTTTTAAAGCGCTGTTTTCATGAAATCTAGCGCTTTTTGTGTTGTCCTAGCGCTGAATGAGTTTTTTTGATCTGGCAGTACTGCCAAAAAACCCTCTATTAAGAAGTAACTTTCCCTTCAGTTTTAAGCGCGTTCAGTTCCCAGTTACAGTCAGCGTGTGTTATGCGATGACCGTAAATAAAGTGCAAGGTCAAAATTTACGCGTTGTAAGAGTGGAGCTCAGTACGGACTGTTTTGCACATGGCCAACTCTATGTTGCTTTTTCCCGCGTTAGTAGCCCCCGTAACCTTTTTGTGTGCACCCCGTCTAAGTCTACTTCTAACGTCGTTTACACCGAAGCTCTATCCTAAACTACTTAGAACTTTGATGATAATGATTTATTTGTTACCACTTATTGATACAGTAATGATATAAATCGTTTAATATTCTCTTACCTAAACGACAAATTCTTTATGTAAAATCTATATACGCGAGCTACGCCGCGGGCACAGCTAGTTTTAAATATAATTCTGCTATTTAATACTCACATGCAAGTTTGACAATGGCCGGCTGACTTCTTATATCACCTCTGCTGCTCCAAGCAAAACACGTACACGTAAATTCTTCACTAAAATATTCTTCGACTTGATCTCTTGTTACATTGCATTCTGCCTCCACAATCCTAACACCACTTTGTGGATCCACGAATTCAAACTGAGTGCTAGCAACTGAACGCACATCATTACATTTGAAGTACACTTGCAAAGCATTAGCGGCACGACATCGTAGCATAGCCGGTTTATTTCGAACAACAAACGAGTGCTGTGGCTCCAAGAGAAAAATTGGAAGATCATCGGTCGAACTTTGCAAAAGATGATCTCCTGATAACGATGGCAATTCATCTGCATCATCTCTACTATCGTGATCATCTTCTTTATGTGATTCATGATCATAATCTTCTTCCAAATAGTCTTTGTGATGGGGAACAGGATGATTATTTTCTGAATTGTATGGGTCTAATGCTTCAACTCCTGCTGGATGAGCATATTCAGGTCGAAGTGGTATAGGTGGCGTGGGAGCATTTGTGCTATGTTCCGCTTCTGTGGAACTTGATATATCTGGAACAAAACAAAGTTACGAATATTATTTAAAAGTATTTACGTGGTAGAGTTATACTGCAGCTATAGTAGTGGTATAGTTGTAGCACGAATGGGTCAGCTTGACCGGGGAAGGACCACGCTCTCGAAGAATACCAGCGCAAAACAACAGGTGAACGCTGCTGCTTTTCGTATGGTAAGTCCCTTTTATTGGAAACGAGGCATTCCATTTTAGTGCTCATGGCTGACAACGCATCTGCATTTTGATTTGTAATCGAGGAGAGATGTAAATATCTATGGGCCACAGCAACCACTTACCATCAGGTGGACTGTGTGCTCGTTTTTTACCCTTATCCTATTAAAAATTTCAATATTTACGTTCTGCAATAATAAATTAATCATTTTCTGCGTATGTTTTTCTGCAAGCTTGTCTAAGAGTATATTAACTACGATACTTAAATAGGTTTACTCATATTTCTAATCGTTTAATGTAACATGTTCATTTCAGACTGTGCACATGAAACAAAATATATTTATTTGTTTATCATTCACGTTAATTTAACTTCGCTGCAACTATAACAAACGGCAACTGACATAATAATATTCTCCGGGACCCACCATCGATTTATGTAAAAGTCTGCACCTGGTTTGACGCCTTACTCGCGCCTATTTACATGCAAAACATAGATATTTGGATACAGTGTACCCCGCTTTACCGATCCTTTCACTGTCAAACTAATTTCAGGCTAAAATCGGTGACGACAAGGATAGATTTCCATTGCCATTTAATTTTAAAGCACCCCCTGCGTGATTTCGCTATGGAATTGTTATCAGGACATCAGTGTATGTTACTCTTCCGACGGTGTTGACAGTAATACCTTTAGGATTGTATTATTGTATGGAGCAAGAAATAGCACGAAAATAAACCGCAAGTCACATGAAGCGAGGATAACTTAATTAGTTTCACTTCCGTTCCGTGTATTTCTATTTCCGTTTTCATAGGGACCGAATGCTATTTCCTTCTGGTATTTATTTTTCCTTAATAGGATTTGTTGCGAGAGCCATTTTCCCATTTTGAGGTCAACGTCACATTTAAGTCTTTAAAAATTTTAATATCTCCTTTCTCATGTATTGGCGATAAATAACCAGAATATACTGAGTATTTTTTTTAATTTCTTCAATCAAAATATTTCACTGAGAATAATATAATATGCCATCTAAATATTGAAGTTCGGTAAGGAATCTAAGCAATTAAAAACTTCTGCTTGAAATACTTTTTGTTATAAAATATTTTTGATGTATACAATAAGTAAATAATAATCAATCATTCATCAATCAATCATCCACAATAGATGTCATTCAATTTCTTCATACTTATTTTTCACATCAAATTTTTACAATAATAAAATAAAATTCAGCTTTAAGTTATAGCTCAGAAGCTGGGTGCCCGAACATCGCAAGCATTTTAAGTGCTAATTTATGAAACGTATGCGATAAAGGAAAACATCATGAGAAAACCTGCACGTCTAAGACATATAAATTAATTCGAGGACATGTAAAATCCGTCTATAATAGGCGCGGTAATAGCGGAGTTTTCTCTTAAAATGACCACAGGCCTATACTCCAACCTATGTACATGTGTCGGCTAATAATTCAAATGTTATATTATTGTTTAATAAAAATAAAATATATTTTCTTTTGACTTAATTAAATTATTTTTATTTTAATATTAAAATAAAATTGATACATTTTCAGAATTGGCTTTTTTGTTTTTATTATGGGTTGCGAGAAATAAAACTTACATTTTCCTTCCAAATTTTAAATAAATCAGTACAACTGAATATTTAGAGAATTCAACAACCTTGAACTCTGTCTGCTTTTATAAAAACATTACCTCCACACTAGGACTTTTTCCTGTATCGTGGGTGGCAGTATACATACATACATTTCAAAAGGACAAACATCCGGACCCAGAACAATTATTTGTAGGCCCATACCAATACTTGTTACGTGCGGGATTCGAACCCGCGGCCCTTTGCGCTGCATCTCATTGCTGAGCCACTACGCCACGGAGTCGTGAAACTGTACTATTAATCTTTAAAATAATAAAGGGGGCCTTTGTCACACACTAATTATTCCGAAAAATTCTGTCTCATTTGTTTGTTAGTAAAATCGATTTAAAGTTCTGTTTGTCACTAGCTAAACTTAATACCTATTATCGCTTGCACACTTTATCGTGATGTCAATTTTAATTGGTTTCTATCAGTTTGATTTTATTAATAACACGTTATTTCTAATCTATCGTATTCGGCTCTACCTGTCTTTCTTAGTTTAACAGGTAAAGCGTAATATTTACATAATTAACGCAAACTGAATTTGATTAGGAAATTTTGCTGCATATTTTAAATTGATATAACTTATTTACTAACATCAATAATCACGTTAAACTTTTCAAAGTAACTGAAGTGTTCACGACTTTTTAACTAACAGTGTAGAGTGTTATCTTGCTAAGTGATGAATTTCTTTTTGTACCGTCCTCCAAACAGGTTTTAGGTTGAAATTTGCTTATGTGTACCCTATTATAGCTTCTCTAAGATCTATAGTTGCATACATATTACATTAAAAGTTATGGAGAAGTTATATTATAAGCTTTTACAAGAAGCGCAAGTAAAACTTGCAGGCGGACGCGGACGGACGTCACGATGCGATTGTATAATGTACATAAATGTCAGTACTCTGTCTGTCTCGGCTATAGACAGTCCGTGGATTTCTTTGAATCAAACATGACTTACGTTTTGGAATTAATAACAAAGATAATACACTTTATTGAGTTACCTCCGTTACTTATTAAACAGTAAATTTCTACAGAATTAGGAATAAAGTTCAAATATTTGATGGAATCACTACTTTAATAGATGGCATGTTTTCTTTGTTTTAAAATACCTTGTATTCAAAACTGGCACAAGTCAAGGAAATCACAAAATGAATGCAAATGGAGAAATACCTTATCGCCACGACACAAAGTGAAATATGTTTAGTCTGATGAATGTTCGGATTCTTGAGGCGACTACTAACGAGATCTAAAAACAAACCGAAAACTCATCGAATTGGCGTCATCCCGTCGTTGAGGGTTTCAAAGAGGCCGCCTCCCGACATTTAGTCCGGCATTCAGATAATTAAGGTACGGATCGATACTATTCTCGATAGAGAACGACTTTATTGATGAGAAATACTTAATCAACGTCCTATACAATGCGGTAGTAGAATGTACAATTTACGTAAAATAAATGAGGTTTAATTTGTACTCTGTTTTCTGTTATGTTAAAAGATAAGTTTCTATTTAGTAAAAAAAATTCTTGTATAACCTTTTTTTTATTGGATAAGGGTGACAAACGAGCACACAGTCCACCTGATGGTAAGTGGTTGCTGTGGCCCATAGACATTTACATCTATCTTGGATTACGAATAAAAATGCAGACGCGTTGTCACCCCTGAGGACTAAGATGGGATACCTCGTATCCAGTAAAAAAGGGTCTCCGGTTCTCTACACTCACTATACGAAACACAGCAGCTTTATGCTACTATTTTACGCTGGTATTCTGTGAGAGCGTGGTCCTTCCCCGGTCGATCCGACCCATTCATGCTACAACTATACCAGTAATATAGCTGCAGATATATAACATAGCTTTTGATATACATAACTTTTACATGGACAAACACAGAGACCCGGAACTATTTTATGTATTTATGTGTATACTCTATACCATTATTTGCTACGTGCGGGAATCGATCCGTGACCCACTGATCAGCAGCATTGGCACTATCAAGCCTTCAACTCTTGTGGTTTTCTATTAACTTCATTTTAAATTATTTTTATTTACTAAAAATTTGCAAGTAAACATACACTACAAGGCATTTATAATAGACGTAATTTACAGAAAAATATATATAAAATATTTCGGGAATATGTTAGGTAACATTTAGATTATAATAGAACATATAAATATATTAGTTTAATTATTATTATCCCATTTCGCTAACATTTCTTGTATTGGTAATCAACAGACCTATAATAACAAATATGTACAAATATATTTATGGGGATAATTATATAACAACGCCCACTAATAAATTTGATAACCTAGGAACAATTAAAGTCAAGTACAATTAATACCCTCCTTTTACCAGATATAACTGGAGTAAAAGTTAAAATTAAAAGATTATATTACGATCAACCCACACCTATATATCACTAAAACATTACACATGCAACTAATAACGCATAGTAAGTGCCACTCGAACCAAATACGGAACGAATAAAATGCAGAGTGTAATGGTATAGATATCGGACATTAAACTCCATCAGACGGTCTGTTTTTTGAGTGCTACGAACCTTCATAACTTTAAAAGAGTACTGTTCTAATAAATCTGTAATGGTGTACGTGTGCTCTGATATATTTGTTTGAGTTGAAACGTAATAAAATATAGAGGCGTGGTGCATTCGCATCCGTTGAGGCGAAGTTGCCTCACTTAAGTTGATGTCGTTTACTCGTAAATGCACTTAACGCCGAGGGAGACATAAAAAGATGCACTCGAACTAGTTAATGGTTACGTGGGCGGGAAGATTTGCCTGCGACGTTTCCTAAAGTAAATCAAATGTTAGGGGCTTTAGACAAGGACTACCATTTTGATATACGATCGCGTTTGTGTCATGACTCATTTCTTACGAGAGCCGTTGAATACACTCGGTACGGTAAATGTCTAAAGTTATTAAACAATACGACAATTTGTTGTCTATAAATGTCACGTTATTTCTACCATGTGACAGTAGAAATGTAACATAATTTTTACTGGATTTTCTTTGAATTGAAATGCAAATATGAAACGTAAAGATTATTGGTTAGCTTTCACTTTTTTCTTATCTTATACATATGCATACGACACAAGGGAAGAAAATGACTTTCTTACAAAAGTAAGGTCCATTTTGTCTTTCATTTAAATTTCTTGCAACAGGCCTGATC